GATCCTCTCCTGGATGTCTTCTGGGAGTGGCCATGGCCCTGCATAGGTTGGCAACAAGCTCCTCTTCAATATCTACAAGCCATTCTTGAAGCACGTGGTCGGGAGTGGCTACGATGCCGCATTGATGGCTGCAACTATGGTCTTCGTGAAAAAGATGGAGCTGGAGACTTTCTGAGAAAGCAGTGGCTGGTGCGCACAACCAGCACCTATTTCCATCAGCGCTTTGCTGCCAAAACCTGTCCTGGAGGTCATCGCCATAGCCAAGTAGCCGGCATAGAGACAGCCAAGAGTTCATATTACCCTTGGCGCATGGTCAAGTCGATCGCAACTGCTTGGCGACAAGAGCTTCTTTCTGACCGCAGTCAACGACTTCTGTTTGCAAAGGAAGATCAACCCATGATGCTGTCAGTTGAAGAAGAACTCAATGTGCTTGAAGAGCAAGGACACATTCTTCCTGCTATGAAGGCGATGGAGCCTGCGGAAAGTGTGCCCTCTGATGCTGATCTCCAGAGATGGCGTGCCAGAGTTTCTCATTTTCACAAAGCAGCTGGGCACCCTACCAATCGAAACTTGGCACGGGTGATCCGTGACTCTGGGGCACCACAATGGAAGATTCAAGTTGCTCTGGAGCACAACTGCGAGACATGTGCTTCTCTCAAACCAGGTGGGGTCTCATCAGGACAGATACCACCGGCATCAACACATTGTCTTCCACAAGCTTGGCAAGTGATTGGCTTGGATACCAGTGAGTGGTTGGTGCCAGGTTTGAAGAAGAAGGCACGGTTTCTTTTGATGATAGATCTTGCCACGAAGTTGCGCGTGGTCTCTGTCATCAAGATTTACCCAGAGCTGGCGATGCAATCAGAAAGTGCTGAAGAGATCATAGAATCCTTCTCAACGAGCTGGTTGGCACATTTTCCAAAGCCTCAAATGGTCGTCGCCGACAATGCCAAGAGCTTTACATCAGTTCAGCTACATGAGTTTTGTCATGCCCAAGGGATTGAATTGAAGTTCCCTCCTGAGAAAGAACCTTGGAGTCATGGAATTGCGGAAGCAGCTATTGCTGATATCAAACACACTGCGACGGCGATCCACCTAGAAGCTTTGGAAAACTCTCCAGACATGACAATGTCTTTGGCATGTTCAGCTCTCAACTCCACCGAGTTCACGGCAGGTTTTTCTGCACATCAATGGGCATTCGGCTCTCACTATGCCATCAGCGATGAGGACACGCGTCTTTGGCAATCAGTGGGCAACGCCAAGACCAACTTCATCAGCGTAGCAAAAGCACGACAAGATGCTGAAGAGATTGCACGAAAAACCAGAGGCCAACGAGTGTTGAGCAAACTCTCCAACACCAGTGTCAGGCAGCCGCCTCGACACTACAATGTCTCCGACCTTGTCATGGTGTGGAGAAAGGTGCAAGCGGGTGAGCATCACCTAGGCGTCAGAGGTGGTCTCCGAAAATCTGGTCGACCACATTGGGTTGGACCAGGGAGGGTAGTTCTTTCTGAACCCTTAGCTCACCAGGAGCCTGATGACTCTCGCCAGCACATTCTCTGGATTTTGATGGGCAAGAAACTTTGGCGCTGCTCTATTCACTCTGTTCGGCCTGCCAATGAAACCGAGCGTTTGCACCATGAACTCACCAACAAGGAGGATCCGTCACAGTGGCGCACCTTGGCGGATATGCTTCCTCAAAAGGAGTTCATAGATGTTACTTCTGAAGAGCCAGGACCTGGTGAGATCGAGGTTCCTGACTTACCTGAGCAACCAGACCGCTCCACAATGGTGCCCATTATGAGAGCTCATGGCAAGCAGACCTACGGTCCTGAAGATTTACGACCGAAGTATGGACCTGTGCCATATCAGAAAATTCATCGCTCATCTCCAATTGGCCAAGATCGACAGTATGTGGAGGTCAAGAATTTTGTGCCAGCTGCAGCAGCAAGTTCACCTTCTTTGCCATCTAGGTCTAAGACCACTTCCTCTGCGCAGCCTCCTCTTGCAGAAGATGTTCCTATAGATGAGGGTCGAGACTCTGACTATGAACCATCAATAGCTCCTGACCCTGTGAATGAATACGACTTGAAGGAACCAGAGCAGAAGAAACCAAAGAGAGAGGACTCCTATGACCTCAAATGGTTAGAAGCCCTTGAAGCTGAGGCGGAAAAGGAAATCACTCATGATGATCTTTTCACGACTCTTGATAGCTACGAGGGCGAGTGCCTCATGTTTGAGCTGGACCTGAATTTTTCTTCACACAAACAGTGTAGGAACTTTCAACATGATCCACTTCTCTATTTGGTGAAAAAGCTCAACAATGCAGAGGTGTCTTTGAAGAATTTGTCTGCGGCAGATCGTGTTCTTTTTGAGAGAGCAAAAGCCAAGGAAGTGAGCTCTTTTTTGAAACATGCAGCAGTCCGCCGCTGCTTGAGTGATGAAGAGGTGAAGAATGCTTTTGGTAGCGGTCGAATTTTGAAGTCCAGGTGGGTATTGACCTGGAAATCGGTTCCTCCTGATGAGAAAGAGGAAGCGATGAAAGATGCCATGCAGAATGACAACACAGTCACATCAGCCTGTGGAAGCAAGCGTGCGAAAGCTCGTATTGTCCTTTTGGGTTTTCAGCATCCTTCTCTTTTAGATCGCAATTTCAAAACCAGTGCACCTGTCATTTCCTCCATGGGCAAGAACATGATGTACATGGTTGCGACTTTGTATCAATGGCATTTAGAAGGGTTGGATTTAGCTACGGCATTTTTGCAAACCATGCCAACTGCTGCTGATGATCAACTTTACACATTTGGAGTGCCAGAGCTTTGCAAAGCTTTGGGTGTCCCTGAAGGTTCTGCTCTTAGAATTCTTCGCAACATCTATGGCTCTACAACTGCACCGCGAGGCCTGTGGCTTAGCTTGTCTCAGAAACTTGAGTCTCTGGGAGGCATTCCCACTCTTGGCGAGCGATGTTTGTGGTGCTGGTACTCCAAGACTGAAAAGGACATTACAGGTAAACATCCCAGGTTGATTGGCATGATGGGGGGTCATGTGGATGATTTTCACGGAATCGGAGATCGCACTTCAGCTGAGTGGTGTGAAGTTTGTCAACGCATTGATTCTGCATACCAGTGGGGTACTATCAAGAAGGGATCCTACAGACATGCAGGATGTGATGTTCACACCGTTATTGACCGCACTGGCAAGTTCAGCATTCGTGTTGAACAACAATCATATGTGGAGTCTTTAGCGGATATAGATATACCACCTGAACGTCTACGTAGCAATGGTCCTCTAAGTTCTCATGAAGTTGGTGCATGTCGTGCAGCTTTAGGAGCCTTGCAGTGGTTAGCAATTCAAACACAGCCTTTGTTGACTGCTCGATGCAATCTTCTTTTGACTGAGATCACCATGGGTGGCACACTTGAGCACGCGCGTGAGATCCAAACGATGATAGGAGAGGTCAGAAACCATGCAACTGTTTTGGAGTTTTTTCATCTACCTGATGTGAAAGCTTGGAATGAAATGATTTTCATCAGTATGGGTGATCAAGCACATGCCAACCGCAACAAGGGTGGCAGCACTGGTGGAATGGTTCATTTGGTTTCTGGTCCCAACTCTCTTGATGGCCGTGTCAGCAAGATGATGCTTCTTTCATGGCGCACCTGGAAGTTGAAACGCCGTGCCATTGGCTCAAACGATGCTGAGGTACAAAGTATCCTTGAGGCTGAGGATGTGAACTTCCGAGCGCGTTTGCTTTGGGCTGAGATTCATGGCTGCCGAATTAGCCATCCAGGTGAATATCGAGAAGACTTGGTGGATGTGACCGAGCGTTTGAGTTTGCTCGTCAAGGGGGTTTTGTGCACAGACTCTCGTGGCGGCTACGACGCTGTTGAGGTGAATGAATCACCGCTCTTGGGCCTGAGCAATTTGCGAGCGGCCTTGCAGGCATTTCAGCTTCGCGACAATCTGAAGCGCTGTGGCAGCGAGCTGCGATGGTTGGCTTCAGACTACGACTTGGCAGATGCCTTGACGAAGAAGCGATCTGAGTGTAGAGCCGGGCTCCAAAGATTTCTCCAAACTTGGGAATGGGCCATCCTTTTTGATCCGACTTTCACTTCAGCCAAACGCAATAAGTCGGTAGGGAAGTCAGCGTTAGACCGCTTGACCATGGTCCAAGTGGATGAAGGAAGTCTGACTGAAGAAGAATGTTTACTGGTGCAACAATTTCAGCATGAGCTTCAATTCACTCATACATTTCAGTCAGACATGTCCCATCCATTGTCTTTTGCCGCTCCTTGATGCTCAGGGGCCCCTTTTCAGGATCTAATCCAATACCAGCCATTGCGGCTGTCGGTGCTGTGGCATAAAAAGGCTGCTGAGGCCTTCTTGCGTGTGAACTTCCATTTGAACGATCGTGAGCCCAATCATTTGCTCCATTGTGCTACCACCGCTACAGAATCCTTACTGCAGATGGGCCGCTCCTGCCTCTTGGTCGTGGAAACCTTGCGAGATTGCGCAAGGGCGTTTTTGGTTTGGCAGATTCTCCCTGAACATGGTATCTCCGTTTCCATCGTTCATTGACCAAGCTTGGATGGAAGCGTTCAGTGATGGATGCTGCAATGTGGACTTTGCGAGATGCGCGAAGGAATCTGCAAGGGATTGTTCTTTCTCATGTTGATGGTCTACTCCTTGGTGGAACTCAAGTCGCCTATGAGAGCATCTGCAAGCTTGGCGAGGAGTTGGGTTTTGGTTCATTTGAGAAAGATAGTTTTACATACTGTGGTAAGAAGATAGAACGAAATAGTGACCATAGCATAACAGTTTCCATGAAAGCATACATGGAAACCTGCACCCTGTCTCCGTCGCGATGCATCGGAAGCAGAAGCTGGATGATCCACTGACGCCTTCAGAGCACCGTCAACTTCGAGGTCTCATTGGAAGCATGCGATGGTCAGTGACACAAGTGCGAGTGGACATGGCCTTTCAAACTGTCAACGCTGCAGGGAGATAAACCCACCGTGAAGACGTTGTTGAAAGCGAATGGTCTAGTCAGATTGTTCAAGCTGAATCCCGAGTTCAAGCTCACCTTCCACAAGATGAATCTGCAAGGCGCTGGAGTCACTGTGGTTACGGACGCTTCATTGGGCAATGTCACTCGAACAGGCAGTGATGAGGGCACCCTGATGACCAAGACCTTTTCCCAAGCCGCCTTCATGGTCCTCGATCGGAATTTGATGGCTGGACGAGAAGGGCAATGTGCCTTCATTGATGGACGTTCACACCGCGTCAGCCGAGTGTGCCGCTCGACATATTCTGCAGAGCTCCAAGGAGCCGAGGAAGCGCTGGACAATGGTGTTTTCAGTCGTGGGCTCTTAGCAGATGTCTTGGGTTGGGATGTTTTGGACAAAACTGAAGACTACAACGAGGAAATCCCCTTGAACCTCGTCACGGACGCAAAAGATGTCTATGACAAAGGGATGACAGACACCGCAACATACGGGTCACAAAAGTCTTTGGCCTCCACCATAGCCTGGATGGGAGAAGATTTCACAAAGCCACGTACGGCTTTGAGCTGGACGTCAACTGAAAATATGCCAGTGGACTGTGGGACGAAAGCCGTGGACACCTCTCATCTGGTGAAGATTTTTAACACCGGACGATGGAGTGTGACATACAATGCAGCCTTCATCAAGCAGAATGTCAAGAAGCGACTGCCTCTACGCCAAAGAGGACCTGTGCTTCCTGGACGCTTGCTGAGCGATGACGCTCTGAGACTCTCCGAGTTGCCTGGATGGCACTTTCGAGAGAATTTTGTGATCCATGTGTGTAGGAACGCAAAGTCTTTTAAGACGCCAGAACCTCGCTTCAAGCCTGCACAGTTCCCCATTCGGTCAAGCTATGGAAGATTTGACTCGCTGGTCCAATCCGAATGGCGGGTGCTTGAAGAAAGTGTAGCTTACAGCGGCAAATCCATGATTGGAGATACTGCCGATGTCTTAGTTACCTTTTTCCATGGTTCACAACCTCAGCTGTTGATCCACAAAGAAGAGGATCAACTGAGAAAGCATGCATGAATCAGCACTGGCATGTGAACCTCGGATTGCATGATTGTTCCGCTGCTTGGATCAATAGGCCTAGGCCATCAATGCTACGCGTCATGGCAAAAGACTGAGCCCTGCGTTGCTTCTGCAATTGCATTACATCACATCACAGTACAGTGCAGTACACTACATCATCCTACATTTACCGCACATCACACTACATTACATTCCACTGCATTACATCATGTTACATCACATCACATTACATGATTTTACACACACACAGAGACACAGACACAGACACAGGCACAGACACACACGCACACAAACACACGTAAATAAATACATGAATATATATATATATATACATATTCCCAGCAGTGGGTTTGAATCTCTGGGTCTAGTGCACCGTTTTTTGTCTGCCCTGAAAACCGGAACGGTATCCTGGAACCCTGGAAACTACTGCCGGCTTGATATATATATATATTATATTATATTATATTATATTATATTATATTCTATTCTATTATATTATATTGTATTGTATTATATTATATTATATTGTATTATGTTATATTATATTATATTATATTATATTATATTGTATTATGTTTATTATATTATATTATATTATGTTATGTTATGTTATATTATATTATATTATATTATATTATAACATTATATTATATTATATTACTTTATATTTATATTTATATCTATATTTATATTATATTATATTATATTATATTATATTTTATTATATTATATTATATTATATATATACACATGTACATACAGAGGTTTGTTCCAGATTCCCTGCAGTGGTCAGGTATTTTCCCTGGACAAAGAGATAGAAAGTGAGGCGGGCCACCAGGGTAATGGATTTGAAACGCCTGCCTCAACACAGGTTCCAAGTGTGTTTGCTGGATTTTTTTTCCGTAATACCGCTGGAAAGGTACATGGGTTGTCAAACTCTCAAGTTTAGCTGGCCCTGAGCTTCCAACGTTGGTGAAATTGCCAACTGGGGGCCACTCGTTGGTAGTTTCAAACTGATTTCTTGGTTGGTGCTTCTGCAGTTCTTGGAACATCCGTTTTAATTTCAACGCCCCGATGTCAGTTGCAAATGAGTCAAGAAGATTGCAAGGCTAGCCTGTCGACACATGGACATTTCGAAATTCAATTTCGCAATGCGCAGGCAAAAGCGATGGCCCAGACAGAGGCTCGGGTTGCAAGCGCATGATGGTGGAACATGCAGCATGGTCCTTTCAAGCCCTATGTCCGAGTCCAACAAGTCCAACGTTGACAGGTTCGAGGCTTGCAGATGAAGGTTTCCTTGCTTGAGAATCGCTTGAATCATGCTGCGAATTTAACGAAGGCGTGGTGGGGATGCTGTGGGCTTTTCCTTGTCATTAGAGACCTCAATGGGTGCAATTTGGGAAGCAGGAAAATTTTAGTATTGGGAAATGTGGATGTTAGACGCGTCTCGAAGTTTGCTTTTCCCTCTAGCCGCTAGCCAAGGCCCACCTACATTTTCTTGTTTGCATGTGAAGAGCGGGAGAAATCCCATAGAAAGAATTCAGGTGTGATTGCACGCCCTTTTCCATCGCAAGTAATGCCGGCCTATGTGTTCTCAAGAAGCAGGTAGCACACTCTCGAAGCTGCTTTCAGATTATGTTCAAGTGAGAAACAGAAGATGTGCCACAAGCCAACGCTTCATAGCCACCGACAATACCTGGCAACGCCAACATTGTCGTTCCAAATCGGGATTTCAACCCCACGTGCCAACCACTGGTCAAGTATTCTTGAGCTTGTGCTCATAGTCTTTGGAGCATTGCGTTTTCATTTTGCAGGGATATTCGAGTTGCTGCAGGGATATTCGAGTTGCTTCGCGGCGAGAACCGCCCGCACCCAGAGAATAGGACAGAGAGGAAAGAAGCGGGCCTACTTGGCCCAACCAAAAGCCGACTGGGGTCAAACTTGGCCGTCCTTGGCCTTAAGGTGGGCCGAACAGGAGCCCACTTGGACCCAACTTGGGCGTAATTTGTGCCGAACTCGGGCCAGTTGGCTCCAACTTGGAGTTCAACCTTGAGCCCAACTGGGGTCCAACATGGCGCAGCTTGGGCACGTACGCAAGTTGGGCTTAGCATGCGCAACTTGGTCCTGTGTGTGTGCATCTGGCGCCGAAGTTGGGCCGAAGACAAGCCCAACGTGGGAAACACGGTGTGGCGCTGCCTTGGACCCAACTGGAGCCCAAGTTGGCACCAATTGGCCATGTTGGGCTGAAGTCGGGCCCAAAGCGACCCAGATAGGCTCCAAATTGAAGCCTTTATTGCGCATGGAAATCCAAGTCGGTTCTAACATGCCGCAACTTGGCATCTTTTGGCGACAGCTTAGTTGGGCCCAGCGGAGACACAACATGGGGAACATATGGGAACATTGCTTCAAACAAAGCCTCATCGATAGCAAAAAAAACGGGCGTTTTGAGGATGTCGGATTGGTCCGGCTATTTCCCTCATTTTGAAGCCATATTGACTTCAACTTGGGCCGAAGTTGCTCCCAAATGGGTTGAAGTTGGGTTCCAAGTTCACGCCAAGTTGCGCTATCTTGTGGCCCAATTGGTCCAAGTTGGGGGCCTTGCTGGCCGAAGCTGACCCCAAGTCGGGCCAATGTTGTGGCCATGTTGGATCGAAGCGGTCCATGTGGACGATTTCGGCCGATTTGCAAAATGTGGAAATTGCCATAGTCTCGTGCACTTCTTTCGAGTCTGCTCCGTTCGAAAATGCACCCCAGCTGAAGCTGTACCAGTCTGACAGATCTGTCCGTATCACTCGCTGCTAAACTACCACGCCTCGGCACTTTTGGTGCGGGCGGATTT